CTTGTTGCTGAGACTACAAGCCTCTGCCATTACATCTAGCTAAGTAGACAAAAGTTTTTAATCAGTTACACACCAAAAAAAAAAAAAAAAAAAAAAAAAAAAGAAAACCCTACAGAGAATAAAATAACAAACTGGACTACATTATAAACAAATCATCTTCATGAGGAAATACCATTTTGAATGACAATGGCAAAAAGAAATATTTGAACATGAATTTTACTCAATAGGATTTGTAAGTGATGAATAAATATATAAAATATGTAAGGCTACATTTGTTTTTAGGAAGATTAAAGTGAAAGAATACAGCTTTCTATCTTTTGGTACCAGTAAAAACATCACCATCACCCACACACATGTGAAAAACTAAATTTTAAGACCATACTAGGTGTTGGGAAGGCTGTGTAGCAATTGGAACTCTCATACACTGCTGTGGGAGTGTAAATTGGTACAAGCACTTTAGAAAACTGTTTGGCAATATCCACTCTATCTGAACATATGCATAACTGTAATGGAGCAATCCCACTTGTAGGTATACTTTGAAGAGAAGGGAGTGAGCATGTTTCTAAGATCATGTTCAAGAATGCTCATAGCAATACTATTTATTACAGGTAAAATTAGAAATAAACCAAACATCATCCCCAGGAGAATGGTGCTATATAAAATATATTTTGCATTATTTTCAATTTTTGATACATCATTAAGTTATAGTTGTTCAGAAATAAATGTTTCAGAGCTGGGATTGTGGCTCTGTGGTACAGCAGTTGCCTAGCATGTATGAAGCACTGGGTTTGATTCATAGCACCACATAAACAATAAACAAATAAAAATAAAGTTATTTGGGGCTAGGGTTGTGGCTCAGTGGTAGAGTGTTTGCCTAGAAAGTGTGAGGCACTGGATTTGATCCTTAGCACCACATAAAAATAGCTAAATAAATAAATAAAATAAAGATATTGTGTCCATTGACAACTAAAAATTTTTTTTAATTATTTAAAAAAATTTTAAAAGAAAGAAATGTTTCAAATAACTTGCCTCACCCCATTGATATTCCTTTCTGGATATAAAGCATTTTAATTGAGAAAAAATTCAGAAAGACCATATATATCAATTATATCACCTCTGAGATATTTTCTCATACAAATGAAAAGTTTAAAGTGAAAAACATATATATATTTATAATCTAATGAACTATTTAATTTTTCTGGTTTTGCTCAGAAGAATTTCAAGAAATTTGTTGGAATAAATAAAATATGACAAATAATATAACTTAATATTGAAGTAGGAATAAAAATAGAAATAAAAACCAAGATTAAGGAATACAACATGTTTTAAAATCTATAGAATAAAACTCATATAACTACTATGCATAATTTATAATTTTAAATGTCAGTTACACAGTTAATATCCATATAATAATATTCAATTGTACTTAATTTTAAAATTAGAATTGCTTCAGAGGATAATGTTAAAAAGATACTGAATGGAGTCATAAACAACATTTTCAATAACATTAATACACTCACTTGGAATCTATCATCTCAAGTTTTACATAATTCTTAGCTTTCTAAATTTGAAATATTTCTTTTGGGATCTTCAGAAATTCACAAGTTCATTTCAATTTTTCCAAAGAACCAATTTCTAGTTCTGTTGATACTAAGATACTGCAAGGGTATTAATCTTTTTCATTTGTGTTACAAGGAATCAAAAAGTTGAGATGAAGTTTTCTAAACTTTTAACAAACTACTCAATTTGAAAACCCAACATGATTACATTATAAATATGAATTAAATGCCCTTAGCAATCACCATTGATATTTTAAAGTGTATATATGATCTTGTTTTCTCCAAAACCCCACTTATTTTATAAGAAAATTGATTTTTTTTAGTAAAGAGGAGGAACTTCCATTTATTTCAGTCAATATATATTTTATTTGATTTTGTCATCTATTGGATATTTTGCTTCTGGGATTAAGAATTGTTGGTGGTGGGCATTTTGAATTGGTAAATTCCAATGTGGTTTATTTAAGAAATATATTTAGTTGTTGAGGGGTTGGGGATATAGCTCAGTTGATAGAATACT